GCTGCTTCACATTTCATTGTAACTTAGTGACAATAATTTGGTGTTAGATCAAAATCACAACTTCTACCTGAAAAGTTTGAGTATTCTCACTACCTGTCTGTTGGATAATGTATGGATATTAAAGAGAGAAGTTACATGTTCATCACCTCTGGGAGTTAAAGGGCTAATCAACTGACATGTATTATGTTGTCTAAGTGATACCTTTTAAAACCTTGCAACTGATATAAGTGACATAAACAGTGTTAACCCTTTACCTCCATGAGTGACCAAGACAATTTCTCCTCACAATGTCAATACAATATCAAGCAGACAAATGATGAGAATAAAGAAAAATAGTAATTAGGGGATTATTTGTTGATCCAATACCGAATTCTCCAAAGTAACATCATAAGAACTGTATGGCAGACAGTAAAGAGAATTATTGATGAGATCTTGGGGGTTAAAGGGTTAAGGCATCTTTAAGTTTATATAAGTCCCTTCAGTATGTTGTAGCTATAGTTCTATATGAACCATACTATTCTAAAACGGAAGCCTAAACCCAAGGGCATCATTTTTGCTGTGGTTTTCTTATATCAAACAACTGTGTGAACAATGAAGTTTGGTGTTATACGGCAATCTTGCTCAAGAAAGTTCCATGCAACGAGCCAGTGAGCAGGCTGTATAGACCAGACTGTCATGTCATCAGTTCAATTTATTTGTTAACAGTGAAAAAGTGAAGTTTGTATTCTTAAATTCATAAAATCTTCAACATTAAATGCCTGCCAAATTTTCTTAACAAATTACTGAAATAAATTTTTGAGCAGCTTTTAATTGGTTGTCAAAAGTGATCCACAAGTGCTTTAGTTGTGATAAATGTGCTCTGTGATTGGTCCAGAAGACTTGTGTGACCCTCTCAACCAATCAGATTCAAAACTTGTTCGTGATTTGGTCACTTTCATTTCTCCGCGTTTAACGCAGCTGGTGTGTTTTTACCTAGAGTTTTCACTGGCTAACAATGATATCGACCATAGCATGGATTGGCTGATAACTCTGGGTTTGGTTTTTCAATTGAGAACAACTCTAAGGCTGATGTACCGTATATCGTCTTGGCTTTTGTCCATTGTGTGTCACTTACATTAATTCCTGTGTTCCTTACTTGCTTACCAAAGCTTGTAGAGAGAAGTTAATCTCAAACATGTTTCCTCCTCCAGAAAAAGGCAATGGAGAGTATCAACTCTCGTCTGGCACTTGTGATGAAAAGTGGAAAGTTCACTTTAGGATACAAGTCTACTCTTAAAACACTGCGACAGGGCAAGGCTAAGCTTGTTATCATCTCAAATAACACACCTCAGCTTAGGTAAGACATTTAAATGTCAAGTCTCACTAAACTGTGTACATTGTATAACCAGTTTGCTGTATATGTGATTTAATAGTGATACTGTATTAAAAATTAGATCCTGGTAACTTTTTGGGGTGAAAGGGTTGTAATGAAAATTGATCGACTTAATGATGTATCTCTGTTTTCAAGGAAGCTTACAACTTTCTGCTGAATATATTTGAAAAGAGCACTTTCACTTGCAAATAGAAGGTTTCCATCCACATTTGTTAACAGTTAACCCTTTGATCCCTTAGAGTGACCAGCACTTAATTTCTCCTCATAATGTCACCCCTGAATAACACATTTTGGTCATGAGAATAAAGGACCTGGTCACTAACTAAAGAAGCCCTTGATTGTTGTAAAAGTTCTCCTTTTCAGAACTGTAGGAAAGTATAGAGAACAGTATGGAGAATATGCATACTGATGTAAGGATGGAAAGGGTTAAGGTGTTTTATGTCTATAATGATCAGTGGTAACAGAAACACAAAGCTATGCCTTTGTGATAAGAACTTGCCTTTTATGTCAGAAGTTAAATTAGGTTTTCCGTGAAGTAAGTCCATGTGTAGGTGATCTCTGCATGCAGTTATTGAAAAGTGTGTTGGAAAATTGTCCTTGATTTAATAATATTGAGATAATAATCTCTCTCACAAGTGAGCAAAGCAAACTAGTGAGAGGTATCTTTAACAGCATCATTAAGATAATATTTGTGTCTACATGCAGCCATGTCATATCCTCTTCATAAACCATGAAAAATTAAAACCTAGAAATATTTTGTATTTTTGTACAGGAAAAGTGAGATTGAATACTATGCCATGTTGGCCAAGACTGGAGTCCATCACTACACTGGTAACAACATCGAACTTGGTACAGCCTGTGGCAAGTACTTCCGTGTTTCAGTCCTCAGCATCACTGATCCTGGTGACTCAGACATCATTCGTTCCATGCCAGCAGAACAGCAGACAGCACAGCAACAACAGTCATAAATAAATGTTGTAGAAAATGTGAATTAAAGTGTTTCTGATAAAGGGGCTTTGTTTTGTTTTATTAGTTACTGTCATTTATGTATATGTTTTAATGTTTGGTACACAGGCTGACTTTGTTAAATGTTTTAGGATGTACCATAGTTCTGAAGAGGGAAGAAAGACAGAGCTTTTTCTGACGTGTTTTGGCTGGTCAAACAAATGTATCATAATTACTTTCTGTAGATTCAAACTCCAAACTGGCTGCGTTAAGTAGAGCCTTCCATTCCTTGTTTGGACTAAAGGGATCACAGCTCTGATGATTTGATCAGTCTTTTGAGCTGTTTACATCTAAAAGATTCATGCAATGTGGCTGTCTGAAGTTTCAGCTGCTTTCTTGTCTGTATCATCCAATAGAGAGTAATTGACCTGCTACTCAAGGGTTAAGATTGGAAAAGCCGATGCTTTAGACTAGTGTGTGCGTGTGTGATGATGGTGTATATTTTGATAAAAGTGAGTTTTGAGGAGTCGTTTGGTTTCTATAAGAATGGTTCTACGTCTTAGCTGTCAAATGATCAGCAGGATGAATTCAAATGTTTTTAAACCTGCCCTAGGAAGGTGTGTTTCAGTTTGTTTTTTCAGGAATCTAATCAACAATGTAAATTATGCAGACTGTCTTGTACTCAAACAGCATGAAGTGGGGGTAGACATCCTATCCTCAGTTGTAGGGAATATGTTGAAAAGGGAGATGCCCATACCATGGTTGAGATAATTGTTAGCAAATAATTTTTTTCTGAATTTAGCTTTTGTTTATCATGGGGATCATTTTGACGTGTCTTTTAACTCGCCATAATAAAGGTGGAAAATATGTCCGTCGAAGATATGATATGGGTTAATTGGCTTAACGGAAATTATCAACACTCAACTTCGTGCAAGAATGCGGGGGCTTAACGAATCGATACCGAGCATCATCCGATCACGACGTCATATGCCGATGGTAACGGTTGTGAGTCACGTGGCTTTCTACCCTTTTAAGGCTCTAAAACGGTCGTAAGAGCGAAACGGAAGTCGTCATCAGCGGGCCCGGCAGGAAGAGAACAAATGACTTTAGGCTAGCGCCGATCGCGTATTTGTCTGCAAACAAGTTTGTTTTTAAGAATTTTCTGGCGGTACACAGTAAGGAGGCCAAACCTAATTCGAAGTACGTGTATCACGAGTCCAAGTGCCTTAAATGTCAAATGAAGAGGTGAAGGATTACGTGGGTAGCTCCGAGGGCGCGTAACAGCTGGTATGATATAGCAAGAGCAAAGCTGCTAAACACCTTCATTGCCAAGAATGGCTAGCATTCTTAGCGTTGTTTTGTCCGATTAGAGTTTGATAAATTGGTCGGCAAAACAGTATCATGGCAGAAAGGAATATGAAGATGAAGAAAAGAGTCATCAAAGAGGGGATCCTTCATAAAAAGACCAGCTTGCTGAAGCAATGGCGTCCTCGGTTTGTAGTTTTGAACCGACAGATGCTGTGCACTTTCAAGAAGGAAGACGACCAGAAAAGAGGACGAACTGCGGAAGCAAGGATCTTCCTGATGGACATTGAATCCATAGAGAAGTGCGAGAGTAAGAAGCGCAAACACTGTTTTAATTTGATCGTAGAGGGGAAGCCTTTCTTCAGCTTCAGTTGTAGTTCTGAGCTGGACAGAGAAATGTGGATGCGATCAGTACAGATAGCTAAAGAGAACGAGCTCAACGAAGAGGAAAACGATCCAATAAGAAGAAAAAGCACCAAACTAACTGGAGGACTCAAACGGATAACCATCCAGAGAGAGAAAGGACAGGGGCTCGGTTGTACAATTAAAAATGTCGGTGGAGTTATCCTTGTCAACAGAATTCTCGAGGATGGGCCTGTTTCGACTTCTGGCATCCTAAGGCCGGGTATGTAAAGCTTCTATGTCTTAATTAAAAGTTTGATCAGTGATGTTTACTAGTAACCTGAACTTTATAACATAATCTTCTGCAGGAGGATGTAATGTCATGGTTCTTTTCATGCCGTCTACTGTTTATTCGGATAGCATCTGATCTCTTGAGAATTGGCGGCAGATAAACACCAAGAAAGCGCTAATTTTCTGTTGAATGTGGGGCCTAATTTCATAGATAAATTAATCCTAGCAACATAAATTGCCCTTGCGGTTAAAATTTACGAAGACATCGGTGTTAATATCCACAAATTTTGTGCGATGAACAAAACGTACAAAATTCATGAACAGAATTAAATTTATTCCATGTATTAGGACCACATCACTCTTAGGGAGTACAGGTGTTTTGTTTATTTGGAACAGAATTTTGTTAAATTGTTTAAATTTTTGTTCCGTGTCACCACAGTAAGTTTTCAAAGTGGCAACAATTTACCATCTAACGTGGTTTTCTGTCAGTTTTAGTTCACTACAGCCTGTATCTCACAAGAGTTAAGATTTAGACGAATTTTAGGTATTGTTCTTTTCGACTAATTAGTAAATCTTTTAATATCTTATTCAGAAGCGACATAAAGCGACTTTACATCTGTTCAAGACCTGCTAATTTCCGTATGCAAATTGACGTACTGCACGAAATTCACGCGAGCTGTTTGCATCATTTATCAATATCCATTGTTTTGTCGTCGAAGGAAAAAAAAATTCGACCAAATCTTCAGCGGCTTTTGTGACTAGAAGATATTGATAACGGTTTAGTGTAGTAAAAAAAGTGGAATTTTATTTAAAAAATTGCTGTTTTTTTAAGGGAAGTTCACCTTTTCCCATTTTTACTTTCTAAAGGGAAGAAATTGCTTCGCCTTTATTACATTTTTTACGTCAGAACATCTGCATGAGTCCAATAACTTATTATGAACTAAAATTCGTTTTTCAAGATATGATATTACATTTATTTGTTCAACATGGCATAAATTCAAACTCCCTTACCTCCGCTGATACCGCAATTTTAATTGCTCTTTCGAGTTTCAGGTTAAATTTAAAAGATTTTCGACTCATTTTTAAACAATTAGAGAGGAAGTGAAATGCATGACTCAACAAGGAACAAAGGCGGTTTTTTTTTGTTAGAAGGAATCATCTGATAACAATTCTAGAACTTTCAGTTTCTTGAGATATAATTCATAATGGTGATGTTTGCTGTACTTCAAAATATTATTGTCAAATTGTGCTTGTTTTTTTAAATTGGTTTCTGTCATATTAGGACATTTTGTTCCTAATAGTTTGGCATGTAGCAATTAAAAAACCATCAATTTGTTAGATATGAATACATAACAGGTTTTTATGCCTGTCAAATAGAGCAGATACTAAATTAATCTCTTGCTCTCCTGCTTCGTTTCCTGACAAATTTCTTAAATAACAATAAATTTAGATAATTTTTTTTTTGAAAGGGGAGATCAAATAAATTTGACCTGCATGAAAAACATGTTTGGTTCTCCAGCACATATTTGGTAATTTTCCTTCATCAATTTTGGAGTATGGTGTTAATTTTAGAAACTCCATTTTGCAGAGAGAGTGTAGGAAAAAGGGCTCAAGAAATTAATGGGGGAGGGATGTTATCAAAAGTGGTAACCATCCCTACATTTCATATTTTAAAGGTTGACATCTCTGGTTATCATCTCAGGTTGTCATCTCGTGACAAATTAAATTAATTTTACCTATTTTCTCCCTTAAACTCCCAGAAGTGATTAAAATCTATTTTCTCCCTTTAATAGTCATCCATTTTCTCACAAACAGTTAATCAGAATACTCAAACTTATCAGGTAGAAGTTGTTCTGTTGATCTAACACCAAATCCTTCAAATGAAATTACATGGAAATGTGTAGCACCTAGAGAAGAGACAGGTATCCTAACAAAAGTGTCTAAAAATGTAGCTCAAAATTTACCTTCTTTTTTATAACTCTATTTCATCTCCCTTAATACAGGAGACCAAATCCTTGATATCAATGGGATTGAAGTTGGCGGCCGCACTGTTTCGGAGATAAGTGAAATAATCAAGGGAAGCCCAGAGCTAGTTGTTTGCACGGTGAAACCATTCTCTGATTACCGTTACTGCGACACACACTCAACAGGTCACACAGAATACGCCGAAATAGACTTGGATTCTCTTAAAGCTAAGGGCAATGACGACAGCAGCAATTCGTCACAAGATGGTGGCTCTGATAGTCCACAGGAGTCCAATGATCAGAAAATACATAGTGATGAGGTAAAGAAAAGACACTCACTACCAACTGTCTTGCCAGACATTCATTCTGCTAAAGATTTTCATAAGGGAGACACTGTCAACTATCTCGAGCTAAACTTTCCCCAGAATGATCGCCCACGTGGCAGAAGCGATGCATCACGTTCCCCACAAGTGCCCCACAGAGCTGGCAGAGAGCGCAACAAGCCAGCTGCTTACATAGAACTTGAGTTTAACAAGAAGGAAAATAAGTTTCAAGAAGTTGGCAAAGAAAGTTCTGATGCTAAAGCAGGAGACAGGAAAAGTTCTTCGCTACCTAGATCATAAGAAATCGGAGCTGTATGTAACTGTTTTTGTACAGGATTTAACCTACTCAATCACCACGAGTTAAAAGAGAAATTTTTAGCTTAAAATGTCATTACACTTTCGAGAAGAAAGGTGAAGCTAAGAGTGAAAATATCAAGTAGGTAATATTATTTGATGTAACAACCAAATTCCTAGAGCTAAAAATTATAAAACATACAGAGTTGTCATTAGAAACTAGGAGGCGGTGGAATGCTAGCTGTCAGTTGTGTCCCAGTATGGACATAATCATGTCCCACGTCTTGGGAGAGTTTGAAATTGCAATTTTTTTCCAGGAAGAGGGTGCAACCAGACCCCCCTAGAAGTAAGGAGGGGGGGGGAAGTTTCTTAAGAAACTGTGGTGCTGCATCAGTAGGAGATTATAACAAGGTAATTTAGTCTTATCAACTGAGTTGATAACATAAATTGGCCAACATTGGCTCTGACAAAGCACTATTGCTTAAAATATGGGCTTTGAATCTCTTCACGGTGGCCAATGTACATTATCCACTCATTTGATAATACTAAATAACCCCCCCTCCTCCGCTTTGTGACATACCATGTTTGCTATGCAAGCATTGTTCAATTGAGCCTTTTAGTCAGTTCAGATTTTAAATCTATCCCATTTCCTAATGACAACCCTGGAAATATAAAGGAAATATTTTGGACAATTCATATTTAAATCTTGACAGTGGAAGTGTGAAAATTACAGGTAGAGCACCAAATGTAATGGCCTAAAACAAATTGGCCTTAACCCTTTAAGTCCCACAAGCAGACAAGTGATGAGAATGAAGAAAAATATCAATTAGGGGCTTATTGGTTGATCTAATTCCAAATTCTCCAAACTAACATCAGGAGAATTGTATGGCAGACAGTAAGGAGAATTACTAATGAAATCTTAAGAGAGTTAAAGGGTTAAGGTGGCTGAGAGAAAAAAAAAATGGCGAGCCAAAGAAGAGAATGGCTCACTTGATTGTGTTAATATGTGCCCAATGCAAGTTATGATAATCTTTGTTAATTTTTTTTTTCTTTTTCCTATCCAACTTTTCTGTTAATCAAAACTACAACAAAATTCTCAAACATGATTGGTTATCACTTGCCCGATTTGAGCTCTAATGGGATGCATCATGCTTTTAGTGGGACAGTGTAGGTGGACAGAGTACATGTCATGTCTGCATAATTGGACAGTAGGTGTCTAACAGTGCATGCTGTTGTGGCAAATTGTTGTACTGTAGTTCCTCTTGTTCAAATCATGGATTCTTTATTAGAACTTTTCTTAATTTACTTCCTGGTGATAATTGTTAAAAAATATGCCTAACATCAAGTATAAATTTCTTTTTTTAATATTAATTTGTGTCAACTCAGAACTCTTTTGAAGGGAGATCAAGTGAAAAAAATTGTGACATGTTTACAATTTTATTGTAATTCTATTTTATCCTATTTATTGACAAACCTACAATTAGATCATTATACATTAAGGAAAGACCATTTATTAGACAGAGGAGAATAACTTTAGCTCATTCATGGTGTTAAATGTTCCCACGAGCTTAAGCATTGAGCCATGATTATGAGTAGTCATAAAAAGTGAACTCTTCATTTATTAGACAGAAGAGAATAACTTTAGCTCATTCATGGGGTTAAATGTTCCAATCAGCTTAAGCATTGAGCCATGATTATGAGTAGTCGAAAAAAGTTAACTCTTCATTTATTAGACAGAAGAGAATAACTTTAGCTCATTCATGGTGTTAAATGTTCCAATCAGCTTAAGCATTGAGCCATGATTATGAGTTAACTCTTCTGATAGATGCTAGAAATCACTGATAAATATAATTTATTTGAAAGCCTACAGCACAGAATAAGTGTATATACTAAATACTTGTTGTGTGCATTGTATTGGTAAAAAAAATTAGCAAGGTGAATTGTTTTGTAGTATAAAGCATAACTTTGGGAATTTTTTTTTTTGGTGTGAATTTTATTCAGTGACTGCAATAAACAGGAACATACTAGTAATAGCTGGTCAAATAAATTTAAATGGTCAGTTTGAATTGTGTTAACTCATGAGTGACAATTATTTGTGTTACTTTTAATCCTTTCCATGCATATTCTCCATACTGTTCTTTATACCTTTCCTAAGGTGCGGATAAGGAGAATTTGTTTAACAATCAAGTTGGTGATCTTTTTCTTTATTCTCATGACCTGAATGTGTGATTCTGGGGTAATATTGTAAGGGGAAATGAGATGGTAGCCACTCTTTGGAGTCAAAGGGTGAAGACTGTCTCAAGGTAAGAGCAATTTTGAGCACTCGTCTCACTGTTTAAAATGCAGCACAGTGGATCCATTACATTACTTTAATTTGAACACCAAATTCTATAACCTAGTTTGTAGGGAAGTTTATAATAGCACCTAGAGGTGGAAGACTTAGTAGAACTGGCAATGAGAAAACACACCTACCTAAAATTCATTTTCAGGTTTTGGTTCTGCTGTTTTTAATACAAAGCTCAGTTGGTGGTGCTTATCAAGTATTTGCATTTTGTACCAAAATATTCTCAAAGCTCAAATCATGTGAAATAAATGAAAACCAAAGGAGACGCTTAATATTCAGACCCTGGGCCATAAAAGGTCAAAAGATTGTTTGTCTGTTTGTTTAATTGCAGACCTACTTTTTTCGAGTCGGTGAAGCACAAAGAGGATGACCGTGGACTGGAACGAATGACCTCTCGACGTAGTGAGAGATCACGTAGTTTACTTTGAACAAATTTAAGGAAAAAACAGCTCCAAAAATAATTATTGCACTTCAGGAGACTCTTTTTTTATGAAGTTTTTCAGACAGTGGGCAGCTTGTCTATTAGAGCCCTTCTAGAAAATTCTGAAAACAAAGCATGAATTCGTTGCCTTGGAAATTAGCAAGCTACTTTGCACATCAATAGTCTTAGACCAGTGAATATTGCATGTACCATTGTGGATTTTTGATGCTCCTTTCATGAGAAATGGCCGGACGAACCTTTGCTATTCCATGTGAAATATGCGCACAAGGATTAGCCGACGTGAGAGGAAAACTAAGAGGAGAATTCTGGAGTCAGACGAACTGGTTATTCCAGTGACACGCTCATAGGATCGCTGAAAAAAGTTACTGGCAACGTAAGCTTATTGATTTATTACCGCCGATCGTGACAGTGATTTGATTGCAGTTTCTTTCTTAGCTCGCTCACCGTTTTAAACAGTGGCAGAGGTCTTGTTAGCGGAACTCTGACGGCGTTGAAATCTTAATCGGGAGACAAGCTCCCAAACCCAGTATGCCGCCTAGAAAACCTCCTCATGTCGTTTGCTACATATGTGGTCGTTTGTATGGAACGACGTCAATCTCGCTTCACATTCCAAAATGTCTGGAAAAATGGCAGATCGAGAACAGTCAGCTACCGAGACATTTACGACGAAAGCCGCCTCAGAAACCGGCAGGATGGGGTAACACTGCTTTGTCAAATGACCCGAGGGAAAGAGAATCGCAACTAGATGCCATGAACGACATGGCTTTCCAAGCTTCGCAGATGCAGCTTGTTCCGTGCGAGAATTGTGGACGGACTTTCAACCCAGATCGCTTACCAGTGCATCAGAGAAGCTGTCGGCCTAATAATCCCCTCAAGATGTCCAAAAACTTTGATCCTTCGAGGGTTGGGTCTGGAAGGCAGAGCACGCCGGGAGGGGGTGATTATGGCAGGAGCCCGCCACCCCCCAGAAAGCCAAAAACTGTTGTGTGTTTCATATGTGGCCGAGAATTTGGTAGTAAATCTATCAGTATTCATGAACCCCAATGCCTGAAAAAGTGGGAGCTTGAAAATAGCCGATTACCAAAGCATATGCGAAGACCACCTCCTGTTAAACCAAGCATACTTCCCAGTTTGTCTGGGGGGGAAGACCTCGAACGCAGGAACCAGATGGCATATGAAGCAGCTCAGAAACAGCTGATTCCCTGCAGAAACTGTGGCAGGACATTTCTACCAGAAAGGCTAGAAATTCATCTGAGATCATGCAAACCCGGGAGCAAGACAGTGCCAATAAGACAGTCAGGTAGGTGTGCTAAAATTAGTCTTACCAGGGTTTCATTTAAAGCTGGTTACCAGTGCTCTGCTGCTGCCTATAGGACCTCTCAATACTGTCTGTTAGGCTGCAAGCAGTCTCTCGTGTTTGGATTTGACTCCCATGGATGACCAAGACAGAATTTCTCCTTACATTCTCAATACAATATGAACCAGATAAGTGATGAGAATAAAGAAAAATATCAGTTTGGGGATAATTAGTTGATCCAATACTAAATTCTCTGAACTAACATTATAAGAATTGTATGGTTGACAGTAAGGAGAATTGATCTGGTAGTTAAAGGGGTAATTACAGCCCCCTTTTGGGGCACAGCTGCCTATTACACTATTAGTACCACTTGTGGAAAAAGTTATTATTACCTCTGATTTCACACCAAGCCTTTTGAGTTTGTGGTTTTGGAGAGACTTTAGGAGTTCGTGTCATTTGATGTAGTTTTCTAGAGAATGAAAAAAAAAGATGATTGCAAGCTTAAAGAAAATTCTCATGTGTCTCTTCAAAGGTTCAGCTCGCCGACTGTCCCCTCTTACCAACCCAGGGGAGATGAATGCTACCCACACTGGTCAGTATGGCAGACAGAGCCCCCTTACCAGGTACAGTGATCAAAACAACAACATCAGTCCATTGGCTAAGGACAAGACTTTCATCAAAGGAAAGTCTACGAAATCCACTCCTCCAGCTTCTTCTCAACGTCCTGCAAGGTTAAAGCCAATGTCCAATACTCGTTCACCATCTCCATCATACAACCTCACTGGGAATTCTCCTGTGATAGGGAGCCAACCAACAGAGCAGGCATCTGAACCAGCCAACCTGGCTCAGTGTTATAACTGCGGCCGCTCATTTGCTGCAGATCGCTTAGCAAAACATGAAAATGTATGCCGCAAAGCTGGTAAACAAAGAAAGGTTTTTGATGCTACAAAAATGAGAACACAAGGGACAGAGGCAGCTCAGTTTAACAGACCTGGAGCTAGGAAGGCACCTGATCCACCCAAACCTAAATCAAACTGGAGAAAGAAACATGGTAAGGAATTTGGTGACCAAGCATGAATGCAGAATGGTGATGAGAACTGAGAAAAGTCGTCAACAAGGGGAATATTGTTTGATCAAGCAGCAAATTCCTAGATATAAAATCATAAGTAATAAATGACAAACAGTGTGGGGAGTCTATATGGAGATTTTAGGTGTGAAAGAGTTTAAGCAGCTGAATTATTAGCAGAGCTCGCAGAGCATAGCCCATAATTATACAAAATAGTAGTAACCCATCAAGCTGAAAAAATTTGATTGTACAACCGTACAACCTTATGACCGTATGACTGTACAAGGTGCTACTTTTAACATGCGCGGTCAAATGTACTGCGGGCATGCCATTGCCATGGCTTTGTCCAGTAGTCCAGTGGTCAGTGCACTGGGCCCCGGGTCGGATGACCCAGGTTCTAGTCCTGGCCAGGGCAAGGTTTTGTGCCCTTGAGATGTGCGGAAAAGAAAAATGCAAGCTCTGCTTTTAGGCTTGGCTAAATCTATATATTAGATCTGTGATGCCTCATTAATGCTCTGTACCACAGATTTGCAAAGTGTGTGTCATTTCATTTTCCAACAATGATTTCTTATTGTTTACATAATTTATCTCTCTCTCGGCAGAGGAATTCATTAATGCCATAAGAGATGCCAAAAAGGTACAAGAACACATCAAACGAGGTGGCAAGGCATCAGATCTTCCCCCTCCACCCCCTAGTGAGAACCCAGACTATGTGTTCTGCAGGTTCTGCCAGCGACGCTTTGCACCAACAGTGGCTGAGAGGCACATTCCTAAGTGCCAGAACACAGCAAACAGGCCTTCACCTCCCAAGGCAAGGGCCTTGCAGGCAAGTGGAGGGCGTTTTAACTCCAGGAATCCTACTT